GACCGCATTGGCCTGACCAACACCCTTCTGCTGCGCCAGAATTTCATCCGGTCTAGGCATCTCCTGCCTCCGAGGCCTGCCACGCTTACCACCACGTCCTCATCCTGACATCCTAATAAAGGTAACAAAAGGATTAGCACATTCACAAATGTGTCGAAGCTATTTCACTCGTGTCCTAATACAATGGACAACTGTAATTCACTCCACGTAAGCACATAATCACATAAGCACTTACGAATTTCATTTCCGAAAAATGACCGTCCTGTGGCGTTGCTAGAGTTCCAGTTAGAAACGGCAGTGATCAAGTGCCTTTCCAACAGGACTCCCAGAAACCCAAGGATCCAATCAACATCCTAGAAACTAAATTCCATACCCATTTAGTCACATAAGCATGTTATCAAATAAACACATAACATTACACTTAGGTCTCTAACAAACGAGATAAACCCATTGTGGTACTAACCACTTCCCACGTACCCAAAGTATTCAAACCCGGTACGCTCTGATACGAAGTTGTAAAGCCCTCAAAATAATACATAAAACCCAATCATATATGACATCCATAGATATACGAGAATAAAATATATATTCATTTATCAGAGTATTCATTACAAACAATATTACATGTTGACAACAAAAGTAAATGCCCTACGGGCTTACAACTTTCCAAGTCAACACCTGGATACAACCAAAAGAGAGTTCTAACTCATAACACTTTAAGCCCTTGGCTTGAATTACATGTAATACAAAAGATAACAAAAATAAATAGGCCTTCAGCTTCTAAGCCTCCCAAGCTACATCCTTAGAGGCGGCATATCACCTATACCTGAAAATGATGTCCCAGATAGGGTGAGCCAAAGCCCAGTAGAGATATGCTAAACAAAATATAAGAAATAACTAAAACATTAGCATTCGACAAATGGTTGACACTTGCAAACCAACTTACAACATATCCCAGTTCAACAGCAAATACATCCGTGTTTCATTCCACTTCCCTTTATTTATCCAATTCAATTCATAGACATGGCTCATTATTTAGCCAAACAATTTAAATGAGACTACAACTCATCTTAAAAACACTTCCATTATCAACAATTCAAATGAGACTACAACTCATATTAAAAACACTTCCATTATCCACATCATTCAGATGCATATAAGGTTTCGAGACTTTCACCCTCGATGCTCCGGCCAACTTAATTATCAATGGAGTCCATCCCCTATCTCCTCCCAAACAATGGAGTACATCCCCTATCTCCTCCCACACATTGGAGTACATCCCCTATCTCCTCCCACACAAACATACATATGCAATGTATTTAAAACAATTCATCGTATACAATGATCACTTTAAGCACATATTCAATGTGTTAATCCAACCGTCATATTCAATGACATAACTCAGTTGATTAGTTTCAGTTTTTCCTAATCAACATGCAGTGTCTACAACAATCAAGACTATCCTCCACCGATAGCCCAACACAGTTATTTCTAAACAGCTAATAAATTTATCAAACAAATAAATAATCAACATTTTCATAGGTGAGTGATAAATTAATCCAACCGCAACATTCAATCTTAAAATTTCCCAATTTCATGATTTTCAACTCGATTTCACATTTCCATAATTTCCCAAATTAATTATACAAATTAATTATTTAATTCCAATTAGGGCTTTTTCCCCCTTTTCTCAACTTCAGCCCTAAGGCTCAATTTCCTTAATTTTACACCAATAATCCTATTTCCCAAGGTCTCACATACATATGGAGGTCATCAATTAAAAAAACCCCATTTTATAAATTCAAATTCAAACCGTAGCATCCCAAAGTTTCCATAGCTCACCATTTATACAAAATGACTAAAATTTAGGTTAAAACTCACAATAAGGAGTAGATTATCCCTACATCAAATGAAGAGACTCAAAGGAGAAGATGATGAAAACTCAAGATGCTCCAAATCTATGGATTTTCGGATCAAAATGAAGACCACATGAAGCTCAAGCTTTTATACAAAGGAAGTAGTGTAGAAGAACCCTAGATCAAGAGTTCTTGTAGAGAGAAGTGGTGGTTTAGAGAGAAAAGCAGTCGAGGCTAGGGTTTGAGTAAAGAATATGATGAAAAAGTGATGTTTAGCCTGCTGCTATCAACTGACATATTTGAGGCTCGCTCGAGCAAAGAAGTGGTCACTTGAGCGACCAGACACAGACAAACCTCGCTCGAGCTCACAAAGCCTTGCTCGAGTGAACCACATGAAGCTTCAGGTCTGTAACCCAGAAGCACGCTCGAGCGTAAGAGTGCTCGCTCGAGCGAAGAAACCCAAAACATAGACTTCGCTCGCTCGAGTGAAGAAACACAACCTTCAGGTCCAAACTAGACGCAGATGCACGCTTGAGCGCATGAGTGTTCGCTCGAGCCAAGAGACACACAACTCAAGCTCGCTCGAGCGAAGGAACTAAAACCCAACGCTCGCTCGAGCAACAAAGCCTCACTCGAGCGAAGATACCAAAATCTGGACAGCAACCATTTGTTTCAAGACACACCCAACCTGTTAATAACCTGCCTAACACATCCCAAAACTCTAATACAAAGAATTAAAGGACGGAAATGCGATACAGATAACAACAAACATCCACGGAACCGAGTCCGGAATACAATAAACAATGGAGGGAAAACCAGGATCGCTATGGAACATAATATTTGGAAATTGACAAGAGTATTTCACTATAATATCCTAATATTACCTAATAATTTTAAAATAATTGCATTATAAGTGATATCTTATCTAATGCAAGTTTTTTTAAAATAAAAAAAAATACATTACACCAAATTCAGAAGGGAGAAAAAAACCTACACCATACAAAATAAAAAGAAAAAAAATTAAATAAAATTAAACCATCATGAAAATGGGATTATTTTCCCACTATCAAACTAAAATGCAATTTCTTTTATGTAATATTACTCACTATGGTATTATATTTATAAAAAAAACGTTAGAAATTTATAATTTTAATGAATTCACCCATAATAATAAATCACAAGTTAACACTTATCAAGTCATATCATTACGAATTAAATTATAAAATTTTATTTTGAAGATCTGAAACATTTTCTCGTCAAACAATATGGGTCATGCTATATCCTACTTTAATCAAACACAATAAAAATGTTCCTCCGATATATATAATTTATCTCATATTTAATAATGTTATAATAACTATATTTATGTACTATTTACCTTGGTATGTGAGTTGTCATCATTATCATGAGGTAGTGGGTCCCAATGCTTTTAGTATGCCCCGCAGCTTTTGTCAATAATGACAACTCAAATATGAACTATAAAAATATAATTATTCTAACATTATGTCTCATATCTCAAGTATATTATAATTTATCGTATATATCTAACTAATAATATATTCTGGTTAATTTCTTATATCTAATTCAAACAATTAAACAAGTCTACTATTTAAACCATCTAAAATAAAATAAAATTGAAAGGTATTAAAATAATTATCTTTATTTATTATAAAAAGATGTGTGAAAATAAAAAATAATAATATAATTCAAATAAACTAAATAAATTAATAAATTAAATTTTTTAAACCCTTCTCAAAAAAGGCCTTTGACCTCAAAAATTCAAATAAACTAAATAAATTAATAAATTTTTTTTAACCCTTCTCAAAAAGGCATTTGAACTCAAAATTTGTAAAACTAACTACAAAATTATGTGAATATTGTTCTGATTTTTTTTTTTTTTTCTCTACTTCTATTGAAAAAGTCTGCGTAATGTAACCGTTATTTAGCATCTTCTAATGGTAAAAAATGAGTGCAACACCAAATAGTCAATGCTTCGAATCACAATCTAGAATCTACTAATAAAATATAGATAAAATCTACAATCTAAATGTAATTAGTTATCATTCAACACAATCTAATAACTTGGATTAACAAAAGATAAATGGTACGAGAGATTAATGGATTAATGGTGTCTCACCCAATTCCATTTGAGAGTATACTTTTATTTCTCTCTCTCTCTATATATATAATTAGATGACTGAATGCACTCCAATTAATTCTAAAGTCTAGAGTTAACAATCGAATAATTCTGAAGTCTAGAGTTAACAATTGAACAAATCTCCTATGATCTTAAGATTTGAGATATTTAGCCTTTATAAAATTTACGATCTCTTAAGTTGTATTTGGTTCAAAAATTTAGGAGAGATTTTAAATCTCTCTCTAAATTCTTAAACAAAACACAATCTTAGATGATAAACCCTTTGAGAAGTGATTTGCAATTTTTGAATAAATTTATGAATCCACCCTTATCTACCTGAATAATATTGTATGGTTAAAATTTAATTCGTATAATGTGTGATACATGTATAAAAAAACAATATGAATCCTGACATAATAATTCTAGATAATTTTTAATAATTAAATATGACTTTTTAGTATTACTTGCAATTTTGACATGATAATTGTAAAATCAAACACAATTCCGTAACCACAAAAAAGAAAAGAAGTAGAAAGTGAAACACATTTGCTATGAAAAATTTATATCCGTTCTTGTAATTGATTTAATTGTGAATAAATTTTTCAGTATAGATACAACGTTGTATCATCATTTTATTACCACGAAGAAAATGACATGAAAGAACAATTTTGTTATATATATATAAAAGAGAACAAGTTGTTATTATAAAAGTGAACGAAAGACATGAGTAAACAAACATATTATAAAACATGCTTTATTTATTATTATAAAACATATTTTAAACCAACCACAAATGATGACCTGACACAAAGACATAAAACTACAAAAAACTGCACAGAGAGAGAGAGAGAGAGAGAGAGAGAGAGAAGAGAGAATAGAAACATGAGAACTTATGAAAAAAAAAAAAAACCTACACAAAACATAAATAAAGACATGAAATGAAAGTTCAATGGATTTGTTTATGCAGATATCTCAAGACTTGTTGTGCTCTTCTACTGATTTCTTCTTTATTGTTGTTCTTGTTTCCAGTAAGGATGATATGGAAGAGAAGTGGACCCACCCCAAGTCACCACATCAGATGGAGCAAGCCTATTCAATGGTGTTGGTGAAGAAACACCATGGCCTGATACGGACATGCTTGTATTCGAACACCCTTCACTTCCACCAGCACCAGCACCAGCACCACCATGGTCGGCGCCATTGTGCTTTGGATTTCCATGATCATCACCACCGTCGTGAACCACCGAATCAACACTAGGAAGCCTATGAAATGAGGGGTTCATGAATGGAGGCACCACCAGCACCACCTTATTTGTCGCTGTAATATTGCCGCTAACTACCCCTCCAAGCACATGTCCCTGTTGACCTGCAAGAGTTATACCAATAGAACAAGAACCACAAGAAGAAGAAGAATTAGCAGAAGATGATGATGATGGTGCTGATGAACCCAGAAAAGTTCCTATGATAGAGATAATATTGAATTTGCCATGGAGGGTCAGCGACGGAGCGTGATAAATTGGGTTACGGAGAGTGACGTTGAACACAGACCCAAAAGCACTTATTATATAGCGATCCCGATTTTTCCTTCCTTGTTTACTGTATTCTGGAATTAGTTCCGTGGATGTGTTGCTGTCATATTTTCATTTCCATCCTTTACTCTTTGTATTTGAGTCATGGGTTCTGTTGGGCAGGTTGGAAATAGGTTGGTTGTGTTTAGAAGCCAAAGGTTGATGCCCAGATTTTGGCCTTCACGCTTGAGTAGGGCTTTTGACGCTCGAGCGGGCCTTTTGTTGTTGCTTCTCTGCTCGAGCTGGCGTTTTGATGCTCAAGCGTGATTTTCCATCTCCCAGTATTTTCTAGGCAGGTCATCGGATGCTCGAGCGGGCTCCTTTGATTTTGTTCCACCGCTCGAGCGAGAATTCTGACGCTCGAGCGGGGACCATGGTCTGCAAAACTTCTAGAAGTGTGCAATCAACGCTCGAGCGGCACTTTTCACCCTCGAGCGTGAGTCTGTGCCTGATGCTCGAGCGGGTCGACTTTTATATCAGTCCGAAAAGTTACTTTTCGGATCACTTTTCTTGACTCTTTCTCTCTCTAACTTTTCAAAACCTTCATTGGAGAGCTCCTCACTCTAAACTTCAACTTCTCTCTAGGGTTTGATCTAGTGCGAGTGATCTTCTACCTTGGTCCATTTGTATAAAGTGTAGAGCTTGGCTTGGGCTACATTTCCATCCGAAAATCTGGGGTTTTGGAGCATTTCGAAATTCATCATCTTCTCCATTTGGTCTCATCTTTTGAGGTAGGGATAGCTACTCATTTTTATGATCTTTTAGTCAATTTGATTTAATGTTGAAGTTGGGTGATTTTGGGTGTTAGGGTTTCAACATGAATAAAGAGGGGTTTTGCTATTTTGACCAATATATGCGTATCTTGGGTCTTAAAATGAGCTTATTGATGTTGTTGTTAATATTTTTTGCCTTTTGGTCAATATTCAAAAAATAGGGAGGAAAGCCCTAATTTTATGATATAAATTAATTTGCATAATTAATTCGAAAAGTCATGGAAATATGAATTTGAGTTGAAAATAATGAAATTGGCTTATTATGAGATTGAATGGTGGAGTTGGATTTACTAATCAGCCACCTTTGAAAATGTTGATAATTTATCTGTTGATGCATTTATTATCTGTTTAGAAATAATTGCTTTGGGCTATCGGTGGAGGATAGTCTTGATTGTTGTGGACACTGCATGATGATTAGGTGAATTAAAACTAATCGATTGAATATGTCATTGAATATGACAGTTGGAATAATGCATCGAATTTGTGTATTAATTGATCGTGTATATGATAATTGTTTATATACATTGTTTTGTGTGAGAGGAGATAGGGGATATACTCCACGATTTTGGAGGAGATAGGGGATGGACTCCTAAACTGGATATTATTTGGGAGGAGATAGGGGATGGACTCCATTGATACAGCAAATCTGTGTATCTATTGTGAAGTATGGAAGTGTTTAGATATGACTTTGATACAACAAATATGTGTATGTAATGTGAAGTATGGAAGTGTTTTGATATTACTTTGATACAGCAAATATGTGTATCTAATGTGAAGTATGGGAGTGCTTTGATATGAGTTGTTATCTCATTTGAAATTGAAGTACTGTTGATATGGGATGTAGTCTCATTGAATTGAATTGTTTGGCCAGGTTCTGAGCCACGTTTATGAATTGAATCAGTTAAGTAAAGGAAAGTAGAATGAAACATGAGCATATTTGTCATGGAATTGGAATGCGTTATAAGTTGGTTTATATGGGTTAAACATTTATCAAATACTAATGTTTTAGTTATTGCTCATTTTATGTTTAGATATCTCTACTGGGCATTGGCTCACCCTATATGAGACATCATTTTCAAGTTCAGGTGATATGCCACCTCCAAGGAAGTAGCTTAGGAGGCTTGAGACTGATCGCTCTTTTTGTTGTCTCTTTTGTATATTACATGTATATCAAGCCATGGGCTGATTTTGTGTAAAGAGTTAGAACTCTACTTTTGTTGAACCCAAGTGTTGACTTGGAAAGTTGTAAGCTTATAGGGTATTTACTTTTGTTGTCAACATGTAATATCTTTTGTAATAATACTCTAATGAATGGCATTATGTCTTACTCTCTTAAGTTTATGGATGTAATGAATGCATGATTTATGGATTTTTTTTTGAGGGCGTTACAACTTGGTATCAGAGCGTACCGGGTTTGAATACTTTGGGTACGTGGGAAGTGATGAGTATCACAAGGGGTTTGTCTCGCTTGTTAGAGACTTAAATGTAATGTTATGTGCTTATGTGATAACATGCTTATGTGACTACTTGGGTATAGGATTTAGTTTCTAGGATATTGATTGGATCCTTGGGTTTCTGGGAGTCTTATTGGAAAAGCACTTGATCAATACTGTTTCTAACTGGAACTCTAGCAACGCCTCGGGACTTTCATTATCCGGAAATGAAATTCGTAAGTGCTTATATGATTTTGTGCTTACGTAGAATGGATTACTGTTGTCCATGACTTAGAACGCGAGTGTTATAGCTTCGGCACATTTGTGAATGTGCTAAGGTTTTCCTTACCTTTATTAGGATGTCAAGACGAGGACGTGGTGGTAGGTGAGGTAGGCCTAGGAGGCAGGAGATGCCTATACTGGATGAAATTCCGGCGCAGTAGGAGGGGGTTGGTCAGGCCAATGTGGCCGAGCCAGTAGGTCAACAGGCCATGGATGCCTTAGCCCGCGAGATGACAGGAGCATTGAGGGAATCTATGGGAGGGCTGAGAATCAAGCCCAGGCCCATGTAGTTGAGGCAGGGCCTTCCTTTCTTAAGAGGGAGTTCTTCCGGTCTAATCCAGACGAGTTTGTAGGGGATCCGAAAAAGCCACGGAAGGCTGACGAGTGGCTTGAGCAGATGACGAAGACATTTGAGATGCTTGGCATCGAAGACGGGGCTTTGAAGGTGACCTTGGCGTCCTTCCAGCAAAAGAGAGACACGGGTCAGTGGTGGAAGTTCATGAGGGGTCTTGTTGGTGATACATGGGAGGCCTTTGTAGATGCTTTCCAGGAGAAGTTTTTGTCTCCAGCTGTTAGGGGGAAGTTGAGAGACTAGTTCTATCAGCTCAAGCAGCTGAGTATGCCAGTGGCTGAGTTTGAGGCCGCATTTACTAGCTTGTCCAGGTTTGCACCTGAGCTTGTGGCGTCTGAGAATGCCGTTGTCTTGAATTTGAGAGGAAGTTAAGACATGGACTCAAGACTAGAGTTGGGGGATCCATGACCCAGGAGTATGGGCGCCTTGTGAATGTCGCGGCCCATATGGAGATTATATGATGCACGATGAGGAGGAGAGGATGAGGGGCTCCAAGAGGCGTCAGGATGGCCAGGGGGATGGTAGGAGGCAGAGGGGTTCTAACCCTCAGCAGTCCCAGGGTGCTTTTGTGAGATATACCTTTCCAGTGTCGAGTGCAGGTTCTGGGAGAGGTAGTTAGGGAGACATTACTTGTTTCAGATGTGGTCAGCTAGGCCACAAGTCTCCAGCTTGCCCGTAGAGGGGAGGAGGGCAGAGAGCAGCTTTATTTTCAGCTTGACCTCAAAGCCAGAGTCAAGATAGAGGCCAGCCGCTCTGTTGCTACCAGTGTGGTCAGGCGGGGCACCTAAGGAGGTATTGCCCGCAGTTGAGTGGCACATCGGGTGCATCTAGTTCGAGGCAAACGTAGAGTTTTCAGCTAGCACAGTCGGTTTAGGCTTCGAGGGCCAATTAGGGCGCCTCATCGTCCCAGTGTGTGTAGCAGTCTTTTGCTCCGAGAGGTGAGCAGGTAGATTAGGGTCCTTTTGGGCGCGTGTATGCCGTTACCGCGCAGCATCTTGTACCGGCTCCATCTGTTGTGAGAGGTACCGTTTTGTTTTGTAACTCGGTTGCCAATGTGTTGATTGATACGGGTGCATCCGATTCCTTTATATCTGCTACATTTGCATCTAGTTTGGGGTTGGAGTTGGCGCAGTTAGCATCTCTTATTTGTGTTGTATCACCTGTTGGGGGTGAGTTAATTTTGAAACAAGGGTGTCAGGGCTGTGATATAGAGGTCGCTGACCGCCAGCTTTCATTTTCTTTTGTAGTTATGGCTATGTCGGGTTTTGATGTGATTTTGGGTATGGACTGGCTATCGTCATACCGGGCTGTTATTGATTGTTATCGCCAGAGGGTCACAGTATGTACCTTGTGCAGGGATTGTTACCATTTCTTAGGGGATTGGGTTGGTAGAGTGTTGCCACCAGTGTATGATCCACGAGGGCGAAGTGAGCTTAGTGGTCTCCTCACTAGCTTTATGAGTGGTGAGTGTGATGAGACCCAGAGTGTGTTGCCGAGAGTGGTTTGTGAGTACTCGGATGTTTTTCTCGAGGATCTTATTAGTTTGCCACGACATCGAGAGGTGGAGTTTTCTATTGATTTAGTGCCCGACACGGCGACGATTTCTATGGCACCTTATCGTTTTGCCTTAGCCGAGTTGAGAGAGTTGATGACTCAACTCCAGGAATTGCTAGATAAGGGCTTCATTCGCCCTAATGTGTCGTCGTGGGGAGCACCGACCCTCTTTGCTAAAAAGAAAGATGGTGCCTTGAGACTTTGTATTGATTATCGAAAATTGAATCGGGCTACGGTGAAGAACAAGTACCCTATGCCCCGTATTGATGATCTGTTTGGCCAGTTGAAGGGGTCCCGTTGCTTCTCTAAGATAGACTTGAGATCGGGTTAGCACCAGTTGAGGGACAGGGAGGAAGATATCCTGAGGACGACATTCCGTACGCGATATGGCCACTATAAGTTTCTGGTGATGCCTTTTGGGCTCACCAATGCACCGGCAGTGTCTATGGACTTAATGAACCGGATATTCCGGGAATTATTAAATCGTTTTTTAGTCGTTGTCGTGGACGACATTCTGATTTATTCACCTTCTGAGGAGGATCATGAGGAACACTTGAGAGTGGTGCTTGAGTTGCTTAGAGCCCATAAGCTGTATGCCAAGTTTGGGAAGTGTGAGTTCTGGCTAAGAGAGGTTAAATTCTTAGGCCATGTAGTCTCTGAGGAAGGGGTGTCTGTTGATACATCCAAGATAGAGGCAGTGCAGGATTGGGCACAGCCTAAGAGTGTTTTTGAGATACGCAGTTTTCTGGGATTAGCCGGGTATTACCTTCGGTTTCTGAAAGATTTCTCCAGGCTAGCTTCGCCGTTGACTAGATTGACGCGGAAATGGGTCAAGTTTTTGTGGAATGAGACTTGTGAAAACTCGTTCCAGGAACTTAAGGTTAGACTTACTACCGCTCCAGTTTTGATTATCCCGGAGAGAGGTTTGGGTTATGCGGTTTACTGTGATGCGTCACGAGAGGGTTTGGGTTGTGTGTTGATACAAGAGAGGAAAGTGGTAGCCTATAGCTCGCGGCAGTTGAAAATACACGAGAAGAATTACCCAACACATGACCTAGAGTTAGCAACAGTGATCTTTGCCTTGAAGATTTGGAGGCACTACCTTTATGGTGAGAGATTCAAGGTGTTCTCGGATCATAAGAGTTTGAAGTATCTGTTTACACCGAGAGACTTGAATTTGAGGCAGAGAAGATGGATGGAGTTCATTGAGGATTACGATTTCAAGTTGCACTATCACCCGGGAAGGGCCAATGTAGTGGCAGATGCCCTTTGTAGGAAATCCATTAGCGATGTAGCTTGTATAGCCATCCGGGAGTGGGAAATGTTAGGTGCACTTGGCTAGTTTGATTTGCTTCTGGGCGAATCCGTTGAGGCTGCAGCCTTGTTTTCTGTAGTTGCGCAGCCTACACTTGTGAATCGAGTGTTAGAGTCACAGAGAGGTGACCTTGAGGTAGAATCCCTCCGAGAGAAGATCTCCAGTGGGAAGGTTGAGAAGGGTTTGACTGTGTATCCTGACTTGAGTGTGAGATACCGAGACCGTTTGTTTGTGCCGGAGTCTTGCCGAGAGGAGGTACTCCGAGAATTTCACCATTTACGCCTTGCGGTACATCCGGGAGGCACTAAGATGTATCGTGATTTGGGTTGCCAGTTTTGGTGGCGGGGTATGAAGAAAGATGTGGTAGTTTTTTGTCTAAGTGCCTTACTTGTCCGCAAGTGAAGGCCGAACATTAGAGGCCAGCGGGTTTGTTGCAACCCTTGCCTATTGCCGAGTGGAAGTGGGAGCATGTCACCATAGACTTCGTTGTAGGTCTTCCGAGGACTCAGCGGGGTAGTGATGCTATTTGGGTGGTTGTAGACCGGTTAACTAAGTCGGCGCACTTTATCCCTATGTGCGTGAGAGATTCGGTAGATCATCTCGCAGACTTGTATGTTCGGGACATAATGAGGTTGCACGGGGTCCCAGTGTCGATCGTCTCTGATAGAGATCCACGTTTTACTGCTATGTTGTGGCAGAGTTTGCAGAGTGCCTTGGGCACTAGGTTGACCTTTAGCACGGCTTATTATCCTCAGACTGACGGGCAGTTCGAGCGTACTATACAGATCCTTGAGGATATGCTTCGAGGTTGTGTCCTTGACTTTAGTGGGTCGTGGGAGAGGCACTTGCCCTTGGTGGAATTTGCCTACAACAACAGTTTCCAGTCGAGTATCGGGATGGCATCATTTGAGGGCTTGTATGGCCGACTGTGTAGGTCTCCAATTTGTTGGGCCGAGGTGGGTGATGCACCTTTGTTGGGCTCGGAGTTTGTTCGGGAAACGATGAAGAAAGTTGAGCTTATCCGTAAGAGGCTTGTTATAGCCCAGAGTCGCCAAAAGAGTAATGCCGATCGTAGGAGGAGGCCTTTGGCATTTGAGGCGGGTAATCATGTCTCCTTGAAAGTATCACCTAGGCGTGGTTTGATGAGATTTGGGAAGAGTGGGAAGTTGTCCCCTCAGTTTATACGCCCTTTTGAGATCCTTGAAAGGATTGGTGAGGTTGTCTATCGTTTAGTTTTACCGCCGCAGTTTTCCGGGGTGCATGACGTGTTTCATGTTAGCATGCTTCAGAAGTATGAGCCGGATCCATTGCATGTATTGGATTGGAACGATTTAGAGGTTGATGAGGATGCCTCGTATGAGGAGAGACCGGTACGGGTCTTGGATAGGTGGGAACAAGTCTTGCTAGGCAAGACCATTCCTTTGGTAAAGGTTTTGTGGAAACATCACGGGGTTGAGGAAGCTACTTGGGAACGTGAATTGGAGGTCCGAGAGAAATATCCGTATCTATGTGTGGATGTTTGAGCACATGTTGTATATTTTGCTGTATTGATAAACATTAAGAGCATTGAATGTGTCTTAAGTTGTAAAACATTGTAAATGTTTCGGTTTATGGGAATATTATGAAACTTGCCTTGAGATGGAAGTTTATTTTAACATTGCATATGTTAATTCTGTTTTGGAAATGCAAATATACTGTTGGCATTGAATATGTAATTAAATAGTGGAATATGTGTTGAAATTGGTAAATTTCAGGGGAAAGCATATTAATTACGCAAATTGAGTTGTAAATTGTGAGATGCCTCTTGAATAGAGATGGAATAACCGGTAATGGGTCAAGTTGCTGAGTATTGAATTGTAACATTGTAGGGAATTGAGAAAACTTGTTTTTGAAAACTGGTATCTAATTTCGAGGACGAAATTCCTTAAGGGGGGCGGGAGGTTATAGCGATCCCGGTTTTTCCTTCCATGTTTACTGTATTCTGGAATTAGTTCCGTGGATGTGTTGTTGTCATATTCTCATTTCCGTCATTTACTCTTTGTATTTGAGTCGTGGGTTGTGTTAGGCAGGTTGGAAACATGTTGGAAACATGTTGGTTGTGTTCAGAAACCAAAGGTTGATGCCGAGATTTTGGCCTTGACACTCGAGCGGGGCTTTTGTTGTTGCTTTTCCGCTCGAGCAGGCGTTTTGATGCTTGAGCGTGATTTTTCATCTCCCAGTATTTTCTGCGCAGGTCATTGGACGCTCAAGCAGGCTCCTTTGATTTTGTTCCTCCGTTCGAGCGGGAATTCTGACGCTCGAACGGGGACTATGGTCTGCAAAACTTCTGGAAGTGTGCAATCGACGCTCGAGCGGCACTTTTCACGCTCGAGCGTGAATCTGTGCCTGACACTCGAGCGGGTCGACTTTTATATCAGTCCGAAAAGTGACTTTTCGGATCACTTTTCTTTGACTCTTTCTCTCTCTAACTTTTCAAAACCTCCATTGGAGAGCTCCTCACTCTAAACTTCAACTTCTCTCTAGGGTTTGATCTAGTGCGAGTGATCTTCTACCTTGGCCCCTTTGTATAAAGTGTAGAGCTTGGCTTGGGCTACATTTCCATCCGAAAATCTGGGGTTTTGGAGCATTTCGAAATTCATCATCTTCTCCATTTGGTCTCATCTTTTGAGGTAGGGATAACTACTCATTTTTATGATCTTTTAGTCAATTTGATTTAATGTTGAAGTTGGGTGATTTTGGGTGTTAGGGTTTCAACATGAATAAAGAGGGGTTTTGCTATTTTGACCAATATATGTATATCTTGGGTCTTAAAATGAGCTTATTGATGTTGTTGTTAATATTTGAGCCTTTGGGTCAA